AGGCTCGGAGTTTAGGAGGGCTTATTAAGCAGCTGTCTTGTCACTCTGAGTGCCTTCTAGTCCAGTGTGGGAGAGTGGCACTGAGTATATTAATGGTTATTGAAAGGAAACTCTTATGACAAGTATGGCCTCTTTCCAAGCAATTGCTTTTTACTATATATTAGTGGAGGGGAGAGTATATTGTCACAAGTATTGCACAAGCAATAAGGTTAACTAACTGAAGAAAGAAGACATGCAAGAAAGGCATGAGGAGACTGGACCAGAGGTAGAAAATTCACTGGGTAGTTACTAATGAAGGCTTTGGCTTGTGCTTCATTTTCCAAGTGAGTTCAAATGTTTTGTGACCCTCCCTGCTAACTCTGGGTAGCCTTCATGTGTCTCTTCTATGGCAACCTCTGTTCCTTCTCATAGTTATCACCTCAGTCTACAGTATATGGAAGAATTCTGCCCAGGAATAGGAGTAGCTTGCTGTGGCTAAACAGATCCTCAGAAGAGTAGGAATGTGTCTGCAAGAGAGGTTTGCTGCTGAGAAAATGAATTGGTGGAAATTCAAAGGTTTCTAGTTGATGTATGGCACTTCTTTTTGGATGCCAAGTGTGGTTTTGCTGTTAGGCTGTGCACGTCACCGAGAACTGCACTGAACTTCAGTAAGTCAACTTAAGGTGCGTATGGAAAGTTGGAGAGCATAGTATGGAGAAGAAGGTGAGACAAGGCATTTGGGAATTTTCCCTGGCCTCATCAGATTAATGGTTCTTAGGGGTACGAATGAGTGAGTGTCAGTGTGGGGAGTTCCCACAAAATCATTTGGTTGGTGGAAATTTAAAGTAAACTAGTTTAGGGTGAATGTTCTTTTTGGGTGCTAAGTGTCTTTTTGCTGCTAATCTTAATTTACTTTGAGTGCAAATAGAAAAGGCACCATACTTGACAAAACAAAAATGTGCCCTTATGTTTATGAATATAAGAAGAATGTTTTATTTTACAGTGTTTCTTGTTTAGACAAGGTGTAGGAATGTCTGAAAGAAGATCCTGAGCCACAAAGAAGAGATCTCTGTAAAAAGAGTAGGCTTTAAAACTGAATCATTTAGTTCTGTCCAATTGGGAAACATTCTCAACCTTGTGATGGAAAGCTTCTTGAGGATTAGAGGAGGCTGCAGCTAGGGTAGTGGTTTTAAAACAGATGAGAGAGTGATGGGAAGGAAGATGGAAGCAGGGGTAGGGGAAAGAAGTGGCAGACAAGGTGTGAGACTGGAAGCACATTGTACAAAGTTGACCTGTTGATTTGGCTTGTTAATCACAAATATTAGTTTTCAATTGGTTTTTTTTTTCTTAATTTACAGTGCTGTTATGTTAGTTACAAGTCAGCAGTCCCAGTAATAAGTTACCAATGTGGAATTACTAAAGATGGGAATCAGGGGGGTGTATATGTATGGAAATCTATAAAGCCTGCAGTGGGCTAGTGAAGGATGTCAGATAAGAGTACACACAGAAGAAAGGTAGGATGAAATTCCCTCTCTTTGGTCCTTATTACTCAGTCCTATTTCTTCTTTCGTCTAAAAAGAAATAAAACACAAGTAGCTCATACCAGCTACTTGGAAAATTAGTATCTTTCATCTGCAGTTACATTAAAAAGGAGATAACTGGGCAACTACCTGGGAAACAAAGCAGTGTTGCATGTCAACATGTTTTCTGAAGACATCTTGCAAATAGAAACTAATTATTTCATCTGTAAGCCAGTGCTGGGAAAGGATCAGCTTCGATGTTTTTAATTAAAAAGAAATAAACAATTTGTTTCCAAAATATAGTTTCCTACATACATGCTCTGAAAGGGTTCTGTCTTGAATTGTTACAGGTGCCAGAGGAATTGCAGTAGTCTGAATGGAAGGTGTTTCTGGGTGCACCATTGTGTAATCCTATAGAAAAGCTAGTTGATTCTGTGCAGGTAAAATCTGATGTTGTTGGTTGAAATAAAAAGAGCAAAAGTCAAACCTTTAATGGTTCATAATGTTTAAGTGTAATTGTTTTCCAAATAATTTAGCATCTGTTTTCCTGCATCCTAGTTTTTATAGGAATAATGTACAACTGAGAGACAAAGAGAAGGGACTGGTTGGGAGGAAACAAAATGACCAATCCTCATCCAAAAGTGAATAAACCTGAACAGTGTCATTAATATTTTCTTATAGGAATGCTGAGTATTCAGTCTCTTACGTTTTTGTAATGTACAAGTCAGTGGGAGACCCTGAACAACAAATCACAGCAGTTCTTATAAGTAAATTATGTTGGAGGTGGTCACTTCTCAAAATAGTTTATAAATATAGTATTGTATTCTGGTAATTTATTGCTACCTTTACTTTGACAGAGTTTCATAATTTCACAGAAAAACTTCCTTTGTTGTCTTGGTTGTGAGAAGCATTAAATGCCTCTAAAACTGAAGAACAGTAAGAAAGAAAAAATAAATTATAGTGTAACTGTCAAGAAAGTAGAATGGAGTTGTGTAGCCTGGAAGTTACAATGAAGTTGGGATTATTTTTTTTTGGGACTGCGTTAAAAGTCGGAAGGAGCATTTTAAGGAAACTTTCAGATCACTCTGGTATGTGAATGTAATTTGGAAGGAAAGCATTAGTGCATATCTACATATCATAGATATCATAATATCTATGGCTGGTTATTCAAAAAAGGAGGAAGAAAATAGAGTGACTGGAAGTGAGGAACTGAAGGAAAATAGCTGAAGACTTACCAAAAACATAGAGTATACTTTTATTTGCTTTATAACTTTTAAAAACTAAACTTGTTATGCAGGGAAAAAGGAAAGAGTCACAGATAGCCATCTAGATTGAAGTTGCTATGACAAGAATCCTTGAAAACACAAAGCATGATTTTGGTGGAAAACAGGAAACTGTTAAGTTGTGATGCGTTGCAAGGCTTGGGGGCAGAGGTTGGGAAGAGGATATTATGGAGTTGCAATAATGCTACGGGGGATTGTGGACTAAAAGAATGTATACATTTGGGACAGCATCAGAGTTAGAATCCCATCAATAGGAGGAAGGTTGAGCAAACTGGATTTAATGCAGAGAAGTGCAGTGAAATAACTGAGGCTGGAAGGATTGAGTTGGGAAGGTAGAGTATTAATAAACAACAATAATAAACTTAGCAGCTTGAGTAAACTAATAAAAGGGTGAAGGGTTGTGTTCAGTATTTAAAAAGAGTAAACTTTCAGAACCGTGTTGATAAGTAGGAACAACAGGTAATTGTTTAAACTGAATGTCAGGAAAATGTCCCAAGTATTATTCTGAACAGTCTAGGTCTCCCAAAGGTGGTGGGGGATGCTCAAGAGTTGGGCTTGATTTGTCTGAGCTCTTTTTGGGTTTGTTTTAGCAGACTCCAAGCTCCCTTGTTAGAGTTCTGGCACCAACATGAGGTTTGTCCTCTACAGAGGCAGGCCTTGCTCTGACTGATAAGAGATAAATATAAGCAGGGCAAATACTAGGATGTATTTCTTTAAAGAAGAAATATCAGAGGAAAAGATCCTGTGCTGGTTAGGAGGAGGGAAAGTAAATCAGCTGTTTCTCTAAAAACTGCTACTCATTGGACTTTTTCTCCTTTACAAAATTTCTGTGGAAATGTGTGGGTTAGTTTGGAAATTTGAGGCACTGTAGTAATTCTGCTGTGTTTGGATATCATTATTAGTTACTTTTCAAGTGCCTCGATATTTTGCATCACGTAGAAACCTCCTGGCTATGGGCTGTTTGGTAAAACGTGAACACGAGATGTTTCAGGCAACTCTGTATTGCTCCACAGAGTCAAAATAGCAGATGGTTCCGTGCTCAGGACCTGCCAAATAATTTTGGATTCCAAGTATAAACCCCCTCTCTTCTCCCCACCATGCATATATCTTCATGGTAGGCCTGTTCACCTCACTGGATTAGTGCCATTTTACCCTCCTCTGCCCAAGACACTGCTTTGTAAAGGTGTACAAAAGAATGCGCTAATGTAGTGATGGCATTAGTGTGAACTGGATTTGATGCTGCCTTCAGGGTGCTTGTTTCTGGATGAATGTGTCTCAGAGGGTTCCTGGTTAAGTAAAAGGAGATTATTAAAGCGGTAGTTCTTTTGCTTTTGTACTTGATCAAAGGTGGTGGTAGCAGGAACTTTACTGCTGGTGTTTTCTTCACTCGTGTTTATGTATTTTAAATGAAAGCTCTGGTTGTTGCTGGGATAACCTTCCCTGTGCTTATGCTGGTGGGCAAGGCCTTCAGTCCATATATTGCTCTTGCCTGCCTGTGCCTGCTGTTACCTATGGAAGGAAGGGATCAGGTTTTTGCATCTGTAGGATCGTTTCCTGTAGTTTTCCCATTGCCTCATGTTATGGACTGTGTGCTGTGCTCCAGTGTTTGCCAAATAAACTGCCACAAGTTATACGAAGAAGTGTTTTGCAGCTACAGTGGAAACTTACTGACTCTTCTACTGCCATTATATGAATTATATATGTTTTAAAATAAAATTGCTCAATCAGGGGAAAGGATTGTTCTGCCCTGAGGAGAGAGTTAACAGGTTGGAAAGGAGCCTCCAGAGGCATAGCTTGGGTCTGGAATTTGTTGAAAGTAGGATTATGGAGGGTGGAGAAGGTGTTGTGATTGTGTTTTGTTCAGGCTCTCTGAATTTGTGCATGAAACTGGGAGATCCTGTGGGAGGGCTAAGTAACCTCTCAGTGTCATTGGGGACACAGGAAATTCTTCCACTCTTTGGGATTAATCACTGGTTGGAGATGTGTTTGTGCAAATTATGTCTGGTGCCATGGTGGCTAAGAAATTCCTGAAATCAGAAATTAAAGGGGAAAAAAAAGCCCTTCCAAAATTTTAGATCTGCAGACCAATTTTTTAGAGCTTCCCATGTTTCCAATCACCATCTCTTTGCTTTGTTTTCTGATAATAATGAAAACAGGATTGCTTATAAAGCAGATAGTTGAAATACGACATTGTGCTCTTAGCTTGTAACTGTTTTCTTTCATTCCCCGAATAACAATAGGAGCGTGGAAAAACTCAATAGAAGAATGGACATCAGAAGACTGGAATGAAGATGTAAGTGTACCTTGTTGGATAGACTGACTGACTGTTTACCCTTTTCAGAGTTTCTGTGTTGTCTTCAAAAACTAAATGTTCAAAGTAATCAATGAATTTCAGTGAAATTCATGAATCAATTCTTCGCTGTATGCATGCAATTATGTGTCTTACTGTGTTTCTTACTGTAATTCCTTTTTAAAATATTTAGATAAGCTTATTTTTATTGAATCAAGAAATATTAATTTATTTTTCTGGGTGGACAATACATAGACAATAAAATTTTAAGTTTTATCCCACATTAAGTATTTGTGGATTATAGTTCTACACTGTTCAATGCTGATGGGTGTTAACTGCTATTGTGTAGGGATTTAAAGCCATATTATCACAAGACTTCTATGTAATTAAGTGCTGAAGCTTACTATCACCTTTAGACTCCTCATTTGATGATTTTTGTTTGACATCTGCATAATTGTTCCACTTAATCCACTTCATGTTCATAATACTAAAAAAGGAGCTAATAGAATGCTGAAGTCAGCACTTAATTGCATCATTCCTGTTGTTTCATCATGGTGGGTTGTCTAAAGTACTACCTCATTCTTTATCAGGCAAGAGATGTCTTCATGTCTGCAAAATATGTGGCATTTGAGATCATTACATGTGAAAATTGCATTTTTGATTTCAAGTTTTCAGTTATTCTGTTAAAGCTCAAGCAGTTCAGAAAACAAATGAGGTAACAAAAAATATGGAAAGGGAAACTTAGCTTTTAAAAAGTCTTTTATCTTTTATAGGAATATCCATTATTTCAAGTTTATTTTCAGAGGAGTAAGAGATTGCCTCGAAAGTCATCCCTTTTGCCTCCTCCTGTAGGGTGGCATGTCAGTGTTATCCCTAGAAATGTGTGTTTCATATAACGGATAGGAAAACTCTGTCCTTACCTAATGAGAGGGCTGTGTCTTTTGAGAAAATTAAAAGAAACTCTAAAATTCCTAGGTTTTCTGTATCAATTATGGCCATCAAAAGCTGGCATCTTTTGTAAACCTGTCCTCTATTTGTGCAGTATATGCTAGGGGTGGACTAAGGGCTAAGGACAGTGAAAATTTGTGGCCTTGTTTCTCAGCCCTGTTAGATGCTGGTGCAATACAGCATTTGTAGTACAGGAGGAATGATGAGCAATGCTGGCTGTGGATAGAACTTTTTTGTAGTTAGTTGTTAAACCTTAGTAATTTGCACATGAGTATTGAAAGAGCAGTGGATGAAATCTCTAGTCTATTGTTAATTTTTATTAATTTCAGAGTCCTGGAAAAAATCCCTGTAACCTAGGAGAAAGTTGTTCATGTGCTGATGTGCAGAAAGAGCAAATGAAGTGACGAGCTGCAGACACATTCACCCAAAACACACTTGGGGAAAAAATAAAGGAGAAATTGATTCATCTGATTTAAAAAAAAAAAAAAAAAATAGAAGCATAGGAATACATCTTGCCATTCAGTGTAGTTTTATGGAAAATATATCCACTTCAAATAAAACTGGTCTTGGTCTTTAAGTAAATTACAAGTTAACTGTCAAGATAATGTGTCATTGTAAGAGATTTGATCTACATCTTTTGTTCTAAAAATAATTACATGCTATCACAAAACACATTAAATGGATTAAAATCTGCCTTGCAAATTTTGGCAAATAAATCTTTTTCAGGAGGACCCATATTACACATGGGCATTTCTAGAACTATAAAGGAATCCAGTCCCAGGCCAGATCTAGTGTTTTTATAAATTATTTGGAATTAAAAAGAAAATCACTGCTGAATAAAGTGTGTGGGAAATAAAAAAAATATTGGAATAGCAATTAAAGGTAAGCCAGTCATGCAGAGAAATCTGGAACTCTGCTACACTTGACCTGTTCAGATGAAAAATGCTTTAATATAGCCAAGTGCCTATTTGTTTTGCAAGAATAAAGGCACACCTCCAGAACAAGAGTCTGTTTTCTGGAAAACAGCAACTGAAAAATTTTCAGGATTATAGTTGATGATGAAAAAAGAACAGCTCAGCATGATCTCCTAAAAGGCTGATGCTGTGCCAAAAAAGCGCTATTGTAGTCCTTTTGCCTGTAGGCACTGGTTCCCTGTCTCTTAATCATTCCTGATTTATGTTTCTGTATGTGGACTCTCCTGAACTTGATTCTGAAGTCCTGCATCCAATTATTCATTGCATTTACAAAACAAAAATTGTGGAAAATAGCTGAAAATTATTTACTGATAGAAGAGGTCCTTGAGAGTGAGATTTTTAGTTTACTGAATCAGAAAAGATTATTAGCATGTAATGGGCTCTGGTTTTAGACTAGCAGACAAAGGCATAGTATGAAACTGTGGCTGGAAAATGGAGCCACACATTTGAATGTATAATAAACAATTCCAGCAGCATGGCTGATGATTAAAACAATGAAGGAAGCTGATGTATTTGCTGTCTGCAGATAAATACCAGGTGTTCTTCTGAAATATTTTTGTTTAAATGTGGTGTTCTCTAGTCAGATACAGGTTAGGAGCAGGTGAGTGAAATTTAATGTTGTTTGACCTGAGAAGGATTAGATTTTTTTTGATCGTATAGTCCTGTCTGGTATTAATCTTCAGTAGTGAATGTTGAACAAATATAGGAGGTTGTCAGCATGCTCTTAAACAGAGTGTAAACTAGTTATAGTGAAAATAAGGAGGTTGTATTTTGTTAAAGGGACATTTAGGGCATGGACAATGAAGACATGGACCAGACGAATGTTGAGGTACTGTAGATGGCTCTGGGTTTTCCTGTTAAAATTGTGGTCATATTCTCCTGGCTAAAGTAGCTAAAGTGTAACCACAGAAACTATCAGAAGGGGAGAAATAGAATACAGACAAATTACTGGAACTTGATGAAGGGAAACATTTTCTGTACAATATCGATAGTCTTAGTTTTTATTTGAAACAACAGCAATGCTTTAAAAAAAAGAAAAAGTGTTTTAGTGGGAATGTTTCCTTTGCCAGGAAGCAGCATGAGAACTTGTTTTATTTTCTTTAACTTCGGTTTGTCTTATCAAAACAGCAATAAGGTTTTGTTATTTCTGATTTGTTGATGTTGAGTTTTTATGAGGATATTTTCCTGCTCACCTCACCTATCAACTGGCCATAGGAGCTGGTAGCTAGTTGTTAAATATATTGTCTGTTTGCTGACTGGAGAATGGTTTTTATCATAGGAACAGGAGATGAAAAGCACAGGCATTTCACTGCAGATGGAGAAAATACCCTTGTGAGGCCGATGGTTGCAAATAGTTCACAACTGTTCATTCAGTTCTGGGAAAATGCCAAAGCCTCAGTGAAAGATTTGCAAGTGTAGTGTATGGTGAGCATAAATAATTTTGGTAGGAGCCAATAGTACTACTTCTAAGAAACAATAAATACATCTGCATAGTAAAACTTTTCAGCTGCTGCTGCATGAAGTATGCGTTTTGACAAATGCTGTAATCTCAGCAGACTTCTGAATTAGGTGCTTGGTTGGAGCTTGTGGCAGTAAATTTGCCACAGGGTGTAGTGTAAACCTGAATGTACCCAAGCTGGTAGCTGGACACTTCTGGTTTGCATGATGGTTTGCTTGAAGAGAACATTTCCACTCCCATACGTCAAGCATGCTTTTGTGTTGTCACAAACGTCCTCAGGCTCCTTGATTTGCTTAGTTTTCAGGATTCATTGGTGTTTTGGCCACGGTTAGTCTTATCCCGGGTTATATGAGCATAAGAAATGGTTGACATTACAAACAATTTAATATTTAACCAAGGGATTGTAGACCATAGGCTGCTGCTCGTCCCGTTAGCTGACCTCCTTGTGCCATATAATGCAGGAGTCTCATAACACTACAAAAAGTACAGTACATGTTGTTCTAAAATAACATGTACAGCGGGGAAAGGACTGAACAATAGGGAAACAGCCATTTTAGTTGCAAATATGCTTGAGCTGAATTTTCTTTCTTCATTTTTGTCAGTACATAGAGTTGCAGGCTGGCAGTATTATGCACAGGACAGAGTTGTGTTCCAGAAAGATGAGATTAGAATACATTGTATTGGCAGCAAGGGAAAGGAAGGAAATGGGGGGAAGAACTGTGGTGGTACTCATTTTTTCCACAGTGTGTTGGGCATAAGTGGGTGGTAGAAGAGTACATGAAACATTTGAACTTTGTCTCTGAATGGTAAGTGATTTGCTCCCAGACTTGTGTGTCCTGCTTAAATCAATAGTGTTTCACAGGAGAATCCCAATCAGATGACCCTGTTCAGGAACATATGTGATTCACTAGAGCTGCCCATTGGATGGCAGATGAAATTGGCTTATGTCTGTGGTGTCCATTAAACTGAGCTGCTAGCAATGTATGCAATTAAAAATGCTAAATTTCATGGAGGAGCGGTCTTCAAATGTCACATTCTAAAGGGATTCCTTGTGAGCGTTTAAATAAGTAATTTATTCTTTAGTCTAAATACGAAGCTACACCAAAGTAGTTAAAGTGATTTTGTGCAAATTTAATTTAAAATATAACCATTTTATGTGTGTAACTCTTGTGTTGTTAAACCTAACCTGTACTGGCTTAAGACCTATTCTGGTTTGCAAGTATACCTGTCAATAGAAATGATTTAACCCTAGGAAGTTGTAGCTGTTTCAGTACTATTTTTTGAAAAAGAAAAGCTATTAAAAAAAACCCCAAACAGCAAACAACCACCCTGCAAACCAAAATTACCCCCTTTCTGAAAAACCCCAACCAGCCAGCTCCTGCTTCCCAGCCACCTGTGCAAGTACCTGTGTTTATCATAACAGCATGGTGAGTCTGGTACAGTTTTCTGGTGTGGATAGTCTGACTGGTTATTCTAGTATAAACAATCACATGGTTCTTCCTTTATTATTGTTTTCGAACTGAGCCTCCAGAGCAATCTGTTAAAGGTGTTATTGCTGCCCCTAGCAGAAATGCCAAGAAGGAACGACAAATGCTAGTTCACTGTACATACCTGAGTGCAAACCTGCTTCCACTGGTGATGTGAGCTGAAATGTGGAACACAGGGATATATGAAATGTGTGGAAATGGTGCAATGTGTTAGACTTCTGTAACAAGATTTATCAGAGCTGCTCTATGGAGTCCTAAATTATGTCTGTACAAGGTATCTTTACATTGATGATATACCAGCTTTCACATTAATTACTTTATATTGGTATATTTTTCAGTTATACTGTTACTCAAACTGATGTAGTTACATTGGTATACCATGGTGTGTGTTCAGTAGATCAAATTTCCTAACACTTTAATTAAATTGGTACTTGATTCTGTAGAGAAGACTTTGCTGAGGTGTTTTGGTCTTTTTAAGCAGAGCTGCGGCAGAACTAGTTGTATTGGTCGTCTGACTCTTCTGTATCTTTAAAGTGTGTGACCTAGGTGGAATTTCTGCAGATGTTGCAGCAGTGAAGTGTGACCGTGTGTATGATTAAAATACTTTTTTAACCTCCTCTGTCTTTTTCAGCTTTCTGAAACAAAAGTATTCACTGCTTCCTCAGTTCCAGCTGAGAATCACGTGACTCCTGAGCAAAGGTAAGCTCTTTCATGTTTTCTCTATACATTAAAAACCTTGTGCTTGGTGAAGAAATGTTAGCTTGCATGTATAAAGTGTTGAATAAAACACAGGGCAGCCCCAGTTAGAGATCAGTCAAGCCAATCTCAAAATTGCGAAAGCCTTGCTTGCAAATTGTTGGTTTTGTAGGTTCCTGTGTTACCTGTTATTGACTCTGTAAGTGGAGCTAAACTTGCCAAATCCAGAAGCATAATACTGAGAAGACCCTGTTTTTTGCACAAAGGACTGCTTACAGACAGGAACAAAAGTATCTGGGAAGAAAATTTTTCTGCTGGTGAAAAGTAAGCTCTGGCTTTGCTGTCCAAAAAAGGGAAAGTCTGCCCCTGCAGATACAGAAAGTGTTCAGAATGTAGTGCTTTGAAAAGTGTGTTGACAAAAAAGTTTGCGTTGGCGAGAAGGTGAATTTCCTGGTACCATTACTTGCCTTAACTGATGGTATAGGGTTCAGATAGAGAACCGAAAATATGGCAGTTGCTGCCTTTCTTTGCTTGCGTTTGCTTTCACCTGTACGAGGACAGGCTGAGAGAGTTGGGGTTGTTCAGCCTGGAGAGGAGAAGGCTGTGGGGAGACTTTATAGCAGCCTTACGATACTTCAAGGGGGCCTACAGAAGAGATGGGGAGGCACTCTTTTGTCAGGCAGTGTAGCGATAGGACGAGGAATAAGGGTTTTAAGCTGAAAGAGGGCATATTTAGATTAGCTATTAGGAAGAAATATTTTATAGTGAGGTTGTTGAAACACTGGAAGAGGTTGCCCAGAGAAGCTGTGGATGCCCCATCCCTGGAGGTGTTCAAGGCCAGGCTGGATGAGGCTTTGAGCAACCTGGTCTAGTGGGAGGGATCCGTGCCCATGGCAGTGGGGTTGGAACTAGATTATCTTTAAGGTCCCTTCCAACCCAAACAATTCTATGATTCTATGATCGGTTGCCTGCATTAGCCTCAGGTCCTAGGAGAGGGGTTAAAGTTTTGTGGTGAAGGCTTTGGTAGTTGGATAGTATGAGATCTTAAAACAAGATGGCTTAATGGTCCCAAACATCCTGATACAACTATGCCTAGACCTGCAGTGTGTTTAGGATAAACTTAAGTCAGAATTTTTTGGAGTAGATTTCTTTTATTGTCTGAATACTTCGCTTTTCCTTGGATAAAGCTGTGCTAAGCATCTGGTAGGGATTGGTAAACCATGCTAACCATGTGGTAGGTGTTAGTAAGCTGGGCTTAATATAAGAAAGTTAGTGTTTCTTCTCTTGATCAGGTATGTGTGGTAAAGTAATTTTGGATATGTGCCTACTGTCTGAGAAATTTAGCTTTTATTTCTGCTCTTGTGACTTCCATGTCATCACATATTCACTCACTGCATATGTAACTTTACTCTTTACTGGCCTCATACCCACCCTATACAGAGGTAGGACTTTAATCCCTTGCCCTTTTTAAAGGATAGCATGATATACAGAGAATGTGGATTATCAATATATAATGGGCTTGCAGGACAGATCCACTTAAACATAATCTATCTTTTATGACTTCACTCCAGTTACTTGGCTATATTAGTCATATAGGTTATTTATGTGATACATGATGTTATAAATTGGGTAAAGTTTGAAAAGAGTGCAGAGTTTATATTCTAACAGTAGTGGAAGGTTTCAGCTAGCAGAATATTACTTTCTGGCAAAAACCTCTGTTCTACCTCTTTTTGTATGGCAGACAAGCAATATTTGAAAAGAATGTTAATCAGTAATAATTTTATTGCTGGTACAGCAGCTTTAGTATTGTTAGTGCTTTCTTCAGTTTTGGCGCAGCTTAATCATCATGTTTATGCCGGCTAAACTTTGCTTTTTTTTTACAGCATTGATTTGGTAACACTGCTTCAAAAGCCTGTGAGTTCTACCCAAGAGATAGAAGGCAACTCATTTGAGGCTCCCCAGCAGCAGACCTTTGGCCAAGCCCTAGTATTCACAAATTCTCAGCACAGCACCCAGATGGCATCAGGAACTGGCAACTCCAGTGCTGTAAACTCTTATTCTCCCCAAAGTCTGGTAAAATTATCTTATGCTTTCTAAGTATTCTTCATGAGTAGATACTTCAGATCAATCAACTTTTCCAGTACTAGTCACTTCATGAGATGTTTCAGTATTTGTGAAATGGAGGTTGCAAATGTTGAAGAAATGGAATTGAGAATTCCACCCTTTCCATTCAAATCCCCATTCAAAAAAAGGTTACATTTTTCTGGTTTTGCTAAGTATTTTTTTCTTGGTTTACATGAAGTACTTGTATTAATTTTCGTGTAGAGAGCAGATGTGTTTACTGCATGCTGATTTAGGATGAAATAATTTGTTTATAGTGAAGAGTCCTATGCCAGAAACCTATGATGTGTTATTTCCAAGTACATATCTTACTGCTTTTTTGTGGAAACTTGCCTGTTTCCAAGTCAACTGTGAGGGCTTGAAATAGGACACTTATATTTACTCCCTGAAAATCAGTTCCACTTTTAGTAAGTATATGCTATTTTGAAATGCATGGATTCAAGTAAATAAGTACTGTTGCAATCACAGTGGTAGAAGTTGTATTGGCGATAATCAGAGAGAATCTGGCCACATGCTATAACTGCTGAATTTTTTATTGGTGATTTGTTAGTAATCTAGGGCTGAAAAGGTTTTAGTTGCTGCCAAATAGCAGCTGTAGGCACTGACCCTATGGTTATGTTCAAATTATTTATTAAATTCTTAACTCCACTCCTTCCCCACTTCTTTTTTGTCTTTTGGTAGTCTGCAGTTCTTTGTTCTGGCTTTGGAGAACTCGGATCCTCTAAATTGGCAAACTCTACTGGATCCCAAATCTTGGACCAGCTGAAGTCTCCAGGATTGGGTCAGTTTACCTCTCAACAAAACAACAGTAGCTCTGCCACCGCTGCCACATCTAACACATCATCCTGGGATCTAAAACCGCCCATTACTCAGTCCTCAGTCCTTAGTCAGTTTGGTAAGTGCTTTGACATATCTTTCTCTCTCTATTATCCCATAAGATTTCTTAATGCCAATGACAGTTTAAAATGGCCTTAATAAAGATTTTTCAAAATACAATTGGTTACAACATTGTAAGAGTTACACTTACTTGCTGGTAAGAGACATTACAAGTATATCACAAACTAAGTTTTGATAGGCTTAAGCCTATCCATAAGTGTCATTGCATCTTTATAAGTTGTTGAGCCTTCATGTAATTACGTTTGATTGAATGTGCTTGAGTATTTAAGTGGAACTTTGATGTGACTTTGTTTCTCAACAAATCCTGGAAGGTGTTTATTTTTGTTGTGCCTGTGCTGCTTCTAACTGAGTATAAGGTTGCACCGTATTTTGTCTTTTTTTCCTCAAATTTTTCTCTTCTAACCATTATGTGAATTTTAAATGAGCACTATATAATTTCTTCATAATGTGGATCACATCTCAGTGTTCTTTCCCAAAGACCGGTGCAGATTACCCATTTTGTTTATTCATAATTGTATGGGTTTTTTCATTTAGTTGAGTAAAATTAGTAGAAACAGTTAAAATGACAAAAACTTGTTTTTTACAGTGTAGTTCCTAGCAGTATCCTCACTGTGAAGAGTGATAGCTCTTTCACTTATCTCGTGTGTATGTGTTTCCATATAGATAAGCAGCCAATTTGGTAGCAGTTATAATCTTCTACATGGAGCAATTCTGAAAAAAATTTTATGTACATTTTAGGTTTCTCTCTAATGCATTTTGCCAAATGAATAAAAAAAACTTTCGCATTGCAAATGCTGTGGATATCTTATGGCTGTTGGTCAGTGCTCTGAGCCACTGCATGGCTTTCAGCATCTGAAAAATATGAAAGGGGAAGACTTGGAAAAAAACCTGTCAGTGTCCAATGTCTCTTGACTTTCAGACAGATTGATATGGTAGATGACTTCCTATTTGTGTTAAAAATCTTCTCCTTTGTAGGGGCAGGAAATCCTAACTCATAATACCTCAGAATTGCAACTCCAGACCCCATTGAAGTAAACACATTTTATCAACACAGTTAATTGCAGTGAAACTTCCAGGGTTTGAGTAAAATAGTATATAACAGTTTTTTGAGGACTAACGTGTGATAATGTTATGTGACTGTATAGGTAGATTTGTTTTCATATTTTTGAAGAAAACTAAATAATGCCTGCCCACAGCTGTTTATTTAAAATAGAGAATATCAAGTGTTTGCCTTATTATTGCAGTGGTAAAGTTGAATGTGAAATTCGTGTGATGTCGGAAAGAGACTTGCACACACTGTAAAATTATAGCTCTCCAGTATGTAAATTCACTCAGATTCTTTCATGAAGAGTAGAAGCATGAAGAGCAGAGTTTAATTTTAATATTTCTTTTTCCCTGTGCTGACCAGACTTTAAATCCCAGCCTGAACCATCTCCAGTTCTGAGCCAGCTAACCCAGCGACAGCAACGACAAACACAGACAGTTCCTGTTCCTCCTCCTGGGCTGGAGTCCTTCTCCTCCCAGGTAAAACTCCGAGAGCCATCACCGGTGGACACCTCTACAGCTGTTAGCAAAATGTTACAGCTCCCCACTATATCTATGGATAACCAGGCAATGACTGCATATCAAACCCAGCAGAAACAGATAAAACCACCGAAACGGAGGATAACTCCAGCATCCAAGGTGGGTAATTGAGTGGTGGCTTGTCCTTAGTAAACGTAAAAGCATACAAAAGCTTGTGTTAGAAATAGTGTGGTCAGCAGGACCAGGGAAGTGATCATCCCCCTGTACTCAGCACTGGTGAGGCTGCATCTTGAACAGTGTGTTCAGTTTTGGGCCTCTCACTCCAAGAAACTCATTGAGGTTTTTTTTTCCTCCTTGAAGATTCCTGCCTCTGCAGTGGAAATGCCTGGATCAGCAGATGTGACAGGGTTAAATGTTCAGTTTGGAGCTCTGGAGTTTGGATCAGAGCCTGCACTCCCAGAGTTTGGATCAACTTCAAGCAGTGAGAATACCAGCCAGGCGACCAACAATAGCTTGTACTCAAAATCTTTAAAGTACGTGTGAGTCCCCCATGTGCGTTCTTACATGTCTTCTTCAGGGGGTTGAGTTTGTGTCAAAAACATCAAGGCACAGTTACCTTGTTATGGGAGGAGGAAATAGGATGACTTGTAAGGCTAGGTGTTTTCTCTGGATGGCATCTTAAAAGATAAATTTATTTTCTAATGACAATCAAAATCTCCCTGGATGGGTTGGTGCAATTCTGGAGATAACAGGAATGTAAATAACCTTATAATAAGCTACCCATTATAGCATTGCTGTCTCCCATTTAATTGTCCTGATTTTCCAATTTGTTGGAGGGTTTGTTCCTCACAACACAAATTTTTCTGCTTGTGATCCAGGAGAAGCGACCTTGTACCATATATTTGTGTCAGTAGATTGACAGCAGATTACAGTTCTGATGCTCCTATGGGAAATGCTGAAAGTAGCCAATGATAAATGCCAGCATACCAGTAACCCATTTTTTTTCTTCCTTAGTCACTCAAAAATTGGTTTTAAGTTAATTCAGAAATACTAGTAAAAATGAACTTTCATGTTCATTTCTAGTTCTATAAATTATTTAAGCTGTTTAGAAAGTAAAATACTCCTTTATGTTGTAAAATATTTAAAATCCTCTTTGCATAGTTCATTTTGTTAGACTGCTACTGTAATAATAGAATTCTATTATAAAATGAGACTGAGTGTTTCTCATCATATACTAGACTTTATGGATCTAGTTGTTTAAAAAAGAGAGATTATGAATGTTAATTTATCCTTTGAGAAGGTGGAAATAACATGACTGAAAAGTGCTGATGTGGAAACTCTTGCTTGGGCTGGCAGGAGGAAGGTGAATGATGCTTAGCGCAGCTGATGGTTTTGAATCAGTGACTACTGTGGACCAAAGCAAAATTATTTTTTTTTTCATTATAGGATTTTCTAGTATAACAGTGTAGATTTGACTGCATGTTTGACATAGTTCTAGATAACTGTATAGGAGCTTGTATTTTCATGAAAGTGTTTGAGATGTCGCTTACCAAGTTGATAAATAATTTTTACTTTTTCCAGTGATCCTTTGAATACCTCTTTGCCAATATCCAATACAGTACAGGAGTCCACCTACACAACCTCTGCCATCACCTCTTCCAGTCTGACCTGCTCGTCCCAGAGCACTAGCCCCGTATCAACAACTTCCTCCTATGACCAGACTTCTGTGCATAGTAGGATAGCATACCAAAGCTCCATGGCTCCGTCTGAATCAACCCCCGTTGCAGTTACGGTGAGTGAATTTCAGAAATAAGACCTTGAAAAAGGTGAAATATTCTTGTCCGTGTTAGACTTGTATTACCTGCTATGTTAATACTTTTAACCAAGCCAAGTGGTGTTTTGACTCCCAAGCCCACTCTGTTATTTGTTTTGCTTTTCTTATTGTGTAGCCATTTTTGGGATATAAGAGCCTCTGATTTTATGGGTTTTGACATCTTAAATTGGTGTTTGATCCTTTTTTTCCTTAGTAACACTTAACATTCTACTTGCATTTCCTTCCCTGAAGCCTAACTTTTTATAAAGAAACTATCTCTGTATGTAAATATTAGTAATGGTATTTTTGCCATAACTTGACAGTTTTAATCCAAAGGTATATTATTTATTAAATTTATATGGCACCTATCAAATGGATCCCAAACTGTTTGTGGCCCCTCCAACATTAGTCTCCTCTTGGATTTAAACACCGGTGGGAATTAGTTTCATGTTTTATTTTAAAAAGCGTAGGGAGAGGTCTAATCTAGGACAGAGAGGATCTCTCTTGGGAGGTTCAAAAGCACCTACTCTCTTTGTATATGGAATGTACATTTGTTTTAAGAGAACTTAATTTACTAAATGTTTGAGGAACTTTTGGGAGTTTGTAAGTTTATTTACTTCTGACCTTTGTTATGTAATGGCTCAGTCACACTTGTCTTCTGCACTAGCTCGTATGTACTGGTGAGGATCAAGTATGCACTTCCCACTTCTGTACTCCAGCATTATCCAAAAAACAACTGGTGCTTCTCAAGTCTTATCTTTCAATGGAAAAAAAGTGGCATCTCTGTGTAACTTGGATAGTTAAAATTGTGAGTTACACTAGATCAAAAGCACAACCGTTTCCTATATGTTAATGCAATTCTTTCTTTCATATCAGTGTGAACCTAAAGTTAATGTTACATGCAGTACATGGGAAGTTCTCCTGCTGATGGGTGTAGTATGGGCAGCGTATGGGATTCTGTGTGTTCAGGACACTGCCTTTTTTGTGTTTCAATTTAGAATGAATATAGAATTTTGCATGAAGCATGTTCAATGTGTGATTCAGTCTAAAAATTTAGTGTATCTCTAAGATGATTTATTAATTCGTTTCTTCTTTGTTTGCAGAATGGGCACAGCGGTGTTAGAACACAGAAAACTCTTGACAGTAAGTTTACAAAGCTTGGTTGTACACAGGACTTTCTGATCTTTCCTTACTCCTTGCTGTGCACACAACTGTAGCAGTGACATCTGGTTTAAGGTTTTATGTCGTTGTCCCTGGCTAATTTTTGTCTCACCCTTTTGAGTTTATGTTGTACTTGCATAGCATATACTTGCATACAGCTTGCTTCTTGGCTAAAACTGAGTTATGAAAGTGGCCTATTAAATCTACAACTCTAAACAGTTTTAATATTAGAGAAGCTGCTTTGCTGCTGCTTTTTCAAATTTCTCTGCCAAAAATTATTTTATATAAAATAAAA